TATCAGGAGGAGCTCCCCTATGTTAGTCAGTTTCCCATGCTGTGATAAAATGCCTGAGAAACCAACTTAAAGAAGGAAGCATTTACCTTGGTTCATGGTTTCAGAAGTTTCAGTCATTTGTTATTTGGGAGAGGGAGGGAGGGAGGAGGGAGGGAGGGAGGAGAGGAGGGGCAAAGAAAGGGGAGGAAGAAAAGTACACATTTGACCCTTTGAATCTAAGCTTTCATGAAACTTCTGATGACATTTTCTTATGCTGAAGGACAAAGGCCCCTGTGTGGTGATATGCTACCATTACCCCTCTGCGGTGAGCCAGCATCAGGGCATGTAGAGCCTTCTACCCAGCAGCTCTACTTGTAGGATTCATGCCAAGTACCTAACGGGGCAGGTGCTGAGGAGATATAAAACAGGTTTAAGTATGAGGACCTGAGTTCAAATCCCTCAAATCCGTGTTAGAGCCAGACGCATCACAGAAGCATCTGCAATCTCAGTGCTCCTCTGGGGAGATGGGAGGTAGACAGGAGAATGGCCAGAAGCTCATGGGCCAGCTAGCCTGGCACACACGGTGGGAAACAGCAGACAGCCTGCCTGGGCAAGCTGGAAGGAAGGACGTCCACACAAGTGCCCCCGAAATGATCCGACAGAGAATACAATAGGAGCGCTCGTCGAAGCACCTTATGAAATGAAACTCCAGAAAAGACCTGAATGCCAATCAGGGGCACCCTTCAGGCGGGAACATGGGCTGGCATCACCCACAGGCAGCTCATGTGATAATAGACCTAAAAGATGGGTGGCAAAATGCTGGCTAGAGAAAATAGCACATTATAAAGAGAATAAATAATCCACCACTGGTCACAAACACTGATGTATCGGTGTTTGCACAGACTGGAAATGTGCAAACCACAGGATCAACGATACATGTCTCCTGGCTTACCGGCATTCTGTGTCAGTATGGAGGGAAGTCAGTGTGGAGGCAGGAGTGAGTATGCCCGGTGAACACGGTACAGAGAACAGCACTTAGGACCCAGGATCGGGAACCCCTCAACTTACTTAGTAGGTGATTTTTCCCGAAAGTGTGCGAAGGAGAGCCCTTCCAGGCCTGCCCAGGTGTCCTCCGTCCGGCTCACAGAGTCCTCCCTGGGCAGAGGCAGCTGCATACAGTAATGTAGGATAGGCAGGATGCCTAGCCAGTGGTTGACACCCTGATCCATGCACCTTTGGCACAGGTTTATCAGGTATATCCGCCACCTAGAAGAATGGAGACTCCACAGTGAGTGAGGGTGACCCTGTGACCGGGATCCCCAGAGAGCTGACCACCACCCACACAGAGCACAAGGAACACACCACCTGGCTGGACAGGGTCACCGCACCAGGACACACGGGTCACAAGAAAGACAGGGCACCCCAGCCCCACCCTAGTGCACCAGGATGCTGTGGGCCCTCACTGGATCCCTACAACAGATGGAGTCATTTCCATCTACACCACCCAGCCGAGGGAACATCTCCTAAAACACATGAAACCAACAGGCTGACATCCAGTTAAGAGTGTCTCAGGAAGGCTGCCTGATGCTGCTCTCAAGAGCTAATCAAGAGCTGCAAAGTCACTGGGCTTGAGGAGATTGCCTCTGACCTTCTGTGACCCCGTAGTGATGCTGTGCTGCTGCCCGAACTAAATGGCCCAGGCAGAGTGGCAGGGGACACATCCCTGCAGTGTCTACAGATGGAGACTCATGTGGGTGCCCCCGATGCATCAGAAAGCTTTCTGCTGTACTTTACCTTGTACTTTAGGTATTACTTTATTGTGACAGGGTCTCATTATGTTGCCCAGGCTGGCTTCAAATTCATAGGCTCAGCTGGCCCTAGTGGCACTTGGGAGGCAGAGGCTGGCAGATCTCGGTGAGATCAATGTCAGCCTGGTCTACATAGCGAGTTCCAGGCCAGCTGGGGTTACAAGGAAACCCAGTCACAAACAAAACAAAACATAAAACTTCACAGGCAAAGGACCCTCCCGCCTCAGTTTGCCGAGTAGCCGCGGCTGCAGATGCGTGCCATTAGACCCAGCTCCATGAGCAGTACTCCAGAGAACGCAGAGCACAGCAACATTCAAACAGGCTCATGCCTGAAGTGAGGCAGGAGGAGCCTGAGTTGAGGCAGCCTGAGCTACACAGTGAGACTCTAACTCAAAATAATACTAATCAGGATATATGTTAAATGGCTGGAGGGTCACAGACTGAAAGGACAGTCGTGGGTGCAGAGTTGGACCTGGTTTTTATTTCTTTCTTATGTTCTCGGTCAGTCTTTGAAAAGCACCTTGTGATCCAATGAAAATCACAACAGTCAGGTGTGAGGATAAGGTCTACACCCCCTGCCACTTGGGAGGCTGAAGCAGGAAACAGCAAGTTCAAGGCTTTCTTGGGTTGCACAGTAAGTTCAAAGCCAGTTTGAGCAATTATCGAGACCTTTCTTCAGAAATGGAAGTAAAGAAAACGGTGGGGATGTGGCCGCACTGTAGTACACTCGCCTACCATGTGTGAGGCTTTCATTTCAAACCTAGTACCATCACAATGGCAAAACTGTATAGCTACAAACCCTCTGACAAAAGCAGGAAATACCTGTGAGGTTTGCTAAGGACAGGGCTCAGATCAGTGCGGAGGGCATCTGATGAGGCAGCGCTCGGGATGAGAAGACGGCACAGTGAATGCAGGCCACTTTTTGGTACGGCAAAGTCAACTGCTTCTACCATGAAAAGAATGGCCAGGCCCAGACTCAGTCTGCTCCTCTCGGGGTGGGCGGCAGACAGCGAGTCCCCACTCTTTCCTTCAAGAAGCAGCACCATCCGATTCTTCACATGCTCCCACAGGTTTGTCTTCACCTGAACCCGGGAGGGAAAGACAACGTGAGCTGTGGAAGCTGTGCCTCGGAGGCTGGGTGACAGGGCGAGAGGCCAAGGCGCTGGGCAGGGAGAGGTCCATGGAGGGCCTTCCCTGCCTTACTCTACCAATAAGCACACTGGTGCCCAGTCCCCAGACCTGCAGGGTAGGTGCGGCGGGGTCACCCAGTGACAGCTGCAAACATGTCTCAGCAGGTCACAGCAGTGTGGGTAAGGTGCACAGCAGTGTGGGTAAGATGCCCTCCTTCTTGCTCTTTCCCAGGCTGGACCTGAGCTCAGAACCAAGGCCAGAGGTAGGGTGCAATTTCTGTCCCCATCTGCACCTGGTCCACTCAGTCCTGGGGCCACTAGTAGGTCGAAGGGCATTGTCTGCCCCTCCAGGGCTGCTGGTGATAGGGGACAGGTACCTCCTTCTCTTCAAGCTGCAGACTCTTCCATGGCCTTGCACATCTTTCATAGATGACGGGCTCTCGGACCACAGAGTAAAACTGCTGGAACTGGGTCATGAAGCTCTCCAGGTTGATGGCACTCCAGGGATGGAGCACACTGAAGACGCGGTCCAGCATGACCACGGCCGCCTCCTTCTTCCCTCTCACCAGGTCCTTCCTTGTGCCGTCGGTGATAATGTCCACAGCTTTCTGAATCTTCCCGGGCTTCCTGCAGATGATGTCATCATACTGATGCCAGTCTAAGGAGACAGAAGGGACAGAAAGACCTGCAGATGATGTCATCACACTGATGCCAGTCTAAGGAGACAGAAGGGACAGAGAGAAAGACCTACAGATGATGTCATCATACAGATGCCAATCTAAGGAGACAGAAGTGACAGAGAGAACGTCGTAGGGACAACCTCCAAATCTCCAAGACCTGGCTGGCCTCCTCTAGAAGGTAGAAACATGGGGGAGCAGTCCAAGTCAGGAAGGAAGGAAGAAGAGGACTAAGGTAAACTGAGGTGACTGGCACTCACTCCAGCAGCTTAGCACAGGCGTGCTCCTGGGCAGCTCATGGTCAAGAGTGTAAAACCTGGGCTGGAGGTGTAGCTCACTGATATAGCACTTGCTTAGCCTGCACAAAGCCCTGGGCCCCATCCCTAGCACTACGAGTGGGAGGGAATGCCTGTGATCTGAGTAATTGGCAGGAGCATCAGAAGGTTGTTCTCTGCTATAGAACCAAGGCCACCCTAGGCTACATGAGACCCCATCTCAAAAGAAAAATTATGGGGTCCAGTGAGATAGCTCAGTTGGTAAAGGTGCTTGCTGCCTCCTCCGGCCTCCACAAGCACACTGTGACCAGCAGACACATACACAGATGCACACATACAAAAATACGTAATTTAAAATTTTTAAATTGTGGGGGCTGAAGAAATGACTCAGGAGTTAAGAGCACTGGCAGTTCGAATCCCAGCACCCATGTGGCGGCTAACAACCATCCATAACTCCAGTTCTAGGGGATCCGATGTCCTCTTCTGTCCTCTCCGAGCACTGCACAACATGGAAGCACTTACATACATGCAGGCATAACACTCATACACATAAAATAAAAATAAAGAAATAGGGGCTGGAGAGATGGCTCAGCAGTTAAGAAAGAGCACTGACTGCTCTTGCAGAGGACTTGGGTTCAATTCCCAGCGCCCACATGGCAGCTACAAACCCTCCTTAACTCCAGTTCCAGGGAATCCGACGCCCTCTTCTGACCTCTGTAGCACTGCACAACACGGGTGCACTCACATGCATGCAGGCAATACACTCATACACATAATATAAAAATAATAAATAAAATATTTTAAAAAATAGGGGTTGGGGATTTAGCTCAGTGGTAGAGTGCTTGCCTAGCAACGGCAAGGCCCTGGGTTCAGTCCTCAGCTCCGGAAAAAAAAAAGACAAAAAATACTAAAAAAATAAATAAATAAATTTTAAGAACAAAACTAGACCCCCCTATTTCACCTTGCACAACAGTCAACTCCAAATGGATCAAAGACCTCAATGTGAAGCCTGAAACTCTGAAACTGTTAGAAGAAAACTTTGGCAATAACCTACAAGATATAGGTGTAGGAAAGGATTTTCTAAACCAGACATCAATTGCTCAGGAATTAAGGTCAGCAATCAACAAGTGGGACCTCATTTGAAGATCAGCAATCAATAAATGGGACAACATTAAACTAAAAAGCTTCTGTACAGCAAAAGAAAATCAAGAAAGAGAAGAGAAAACCCATGGAATGGGAAAATATCTTCACCAGTGACACATCTGACAGAGGTTTCACATCTAGAATATATAAAAAACTCAAAAAAACAGAGGATCAAGACAGGAAGTAACTCAATTAAAAGATGGGTTAAGGAGCTGAACATAGGGCTCTCAAAAGAAGAAATAAAGATAGATAAGAAGCATCTTAAAAGGTGTGCAGCATTGTTAGTAATTAGGGAAATGCAAATTAAAACCACTTTAAGATTTCATCTTACCCCAGTTAGACTGGCTAAGATCAAAAGAACACATAATACTAAATATTGGAGAGGATGTAGATAAAGGGGAACGCTCATCCACTGCTGGTGGGACTGTACACTTGTACAACCCCTATGGAAAGCAGTGTGGAGAACCCTTAAAAAACTACAAATGACCCTACCATTTGACCCAGTTATACCACTCCTTGGCATATACCCAAAGGACTCATCCTATTGCAGAGACACTTGTACATACATGTTTGTTGCTGCTCTTTTAACAATAGCTAAGAGATGGAAGCAACCTAAGTGTCCTTCAACGGATGAGTGGATAATGAAAATGTGGTATATTTACACAATGGAGTCCTACTCAGCGGTAAAGAAAGATGAAACCATGAAATTTGCAGGTAAATGGATGGAACCACAAACTGTTATACTAAGTAACACAAACTCAGTAAAACAAATGTCATATGTTCTCCCTCATATGTGGATCCTAGCACAAAATCCTTATAAGTGAGTCTATACAGACAAATTACAGACATAACTACAGGAACCAGAATAATGAAAAGGAGCCAGGGAGGTAAAGGGAAAGAAAACCTGAGAGAGAAGAAAGTAGGACACAGGTGTTACTAAGGGAGAATTGGAGAAAATGGGGAGGGTTATAACAAGAAGCCTTGGGGATAAAGGGAAAGAAGGAGCTCAAGAGAGGTGGGACCACTGGAGGAGGGTATTATCAGGGAGAAATAGAGAAAATGGGGGCACTTAAATGGGGAAACCATGGCGGAAGGGTTAGACAGTGAGAGAGAGAGAGAGAGAGAGAGAGAGAAAGAGAGAGAGAGAGAGGAGATAAATAATGCCTAGCTAGTTTTAAAAAACCACAGGGAATCATATCAGTCCAACAATCTACTGACAAATTATACATACATTATCCCTACATGAGTCCATGTGTATAGCTAAAGGCTACATAACAAGAAATAGTGCCAGACAGGAGATACCTTCCTTTGAGTTGTTGGCCAGGGTGGTCCAAGAGACTCCCAAAATTACTCAGGCTATTGCCACAGCCCTTGACAGCCTCCCAGAACTTAAAGGTAAGACCCTACTGTTGAAGACAGAATATACTTTGGACACAGGATTTGGAAATAGAGCTGCAACTGGCCTGAAACCACTTCCCCTGAAGGCAGCTCTCATAGCTTTGGACAGTGCTCTGAAGGTGCCAAGGGAAAACATCACTGGATGATCCAGCACCAGCTTCAAGACCAAAAACCACATCAACGGCCAGCACAGTGTATGTCATTGATGCAGCAGTGGCACTTTTATCTTGGGGGCAATCAACAGCTACCCAATTTGACTAAATGCCCACTCAAAGGGAGGAAATTCAACTGTGGTACTGTAAACATAACCTAATACACTTAGCAGGAGTGGTCATAGATCTAAGAGAAAACCCCAAGACTGTCACATTGCTAGACTAATGTGATTTCTTCCTATGTACAAAATATGTATCCTTATATTTACAGACAAATATCCCCCAGTCACCACTCATCAAAGAAGCTCATTTTGCACCAGTCAGAGACTATTACCAAGTACCACAACTGGTCACACAGACATTGTCTATGAATTGTCCAGGCCTAAGGGACACATCTGCAATGCAACCTCTACACCTAATGCTCATGGAACATAGAACAGGGATAGAGAAGAGGACACTAAGGATCAGTTCTCCATAATGAAGCTCCTCATGCAGCAGAGGGCCGGGAACACAGAAGGTCAGAAGTGGCCAAAGTGCAGAGATCAAGAGTCTGCTGAATAATGTTCCTTGGACAGGACCTCCTTATTAAACCTCACCCACCCAAGGCTCAGGGACTATCGCAGAAGGGGGATGGAAAGATCGTAAGAGCCAGGGAGGAGGTGCATGACCATATGGAAACAGAGTCCGACAACCTCCTGGGAATCTGCTCATATGATTCTACAGCAATGGTGTCAGCATACACAAGTCCCATGCAAACCCAGGCAGAGAGTAACCCAGCATAGAACTGGGAAAATGAACAGCAGACCCCAATCTTATCTGAAGGAATGTTAGCAACTGATTGCTGGGAGATGAAGAAGAGCTGATCTTCCTAAAACAAGGGAGTCTAGATAAGCTGACTTGCACTGGGGAGCGGCTGGGGACACTGGTTACAGGGACGACAGAGGATATGGGCTCCAGTGGGGAGCTGTGGGAGTGTACCAGTGAGGGTGGGGGTACAAAGATGATTAAGATTGTTTGAGATGTTCTGTATGAAATACACAAAAAATTCAGTAAAGTTAACATTTTATTTTTTTTCAAATTATATCTTTTCTGGGGCCCTGGGCTCCATCCTTAGCACTGAGGAAAACCAAAATCCACACAGTGGAAAGCTACTAGGACTGAAAGAGAGCAGGGACTCCACTCCCTCTTCTGGGTCTTGTATTGCTTCAACACTAAGCAACAGACAAAGAAGAAAAAGAACTTTTTTCAAGACCCTGGCCGCTCACAGAAGAGACAAGAGGCGACTGTGGCGCCTGCCTAGGCAGTTCCTCAACCGTTCTGGAGACCCCATGGAAGGACACAGGCTGACCAGGCCAGTCGGCAGCAGAGGAGCACAGGGACCAGAGGGCCCTTCCCAAGAGCTCGGCAGCCAAACGAAAGCAACATCAAGACCGACACAGCACATGCCGCGATGACAAGAGACAGTGGAAAAGGCTCTTGACCCTTTAAAATGTCATAGTCACTAGGGGACAGGCTCCCTGAAGACCCAGCCCTCTGCCCCTCCGGCCCCACCCCCTCTGCCCCTCCGGCCCCACCCCTCTGCCTCTCCGGCCCCACCCCTCTCCGGCCCCACCCCTCTCCGGCCCCAACCCCACCCAGCCCTTGCTTCTTTCTCTCCTTCCTTGGTGAAACCCTTCCCAACCTTGCTTCCTCACGCAAACAAGGGGTTAAGTCAAACCACCCCGGCCACCCACAGCCTTTTCCAAAGGCAGCAGTATTACATGTCTGGGCAGAGGTGCGGTCAGTGCCAGGCAGAGGACCCAAAGTTTGGTACCTGCTCCCCAGAGACCCACGCGGGCAGCTGACCCATGGTCAGGCACCTCCGTGGCGTACCTCCAGCACCCAAGAGAGCAGAGCGCACACACAGGCAGCGGTTCACGTGCTCGCCCTTCTTCTGCGGGTCTTCGTAGATGAACTCATACTCCACGGTGTCCTTGCTGCCGCGGTGGTGGATGACATACTTATAAGGGATGTTTTTGTCCAGGCTCTGTCTGGGAATGACCAGGCTGCCCTCGATGAGAGACCCGAGGTCATGCAGGTCCCTGCGAAAGAACGTGAGAGGACCACTTACCATGAAGCAGAGTCACAAGGATAGGATACTTTTAGAACAGGGCAGGGTTTCCAGCCAGAACACAGAAAAAGATGTGATAAGGAGATGCATGCTGGTGAGTGTGTGTCTGAAACGTTTTCCACCAAAGTGGTGCATGCCTTTAAACTGATGCAGGAGAATCCCCAGGAGTTCCAGGCCAGCCAGGGCAACAGAGACCCTATTTCAAACAACAAAGGGGGTGGGGAGAGGAGGAGGAGGAAGAAAAGGAGAAAGAGGAAGGAGGAAGGGAGGGAGCAAGGCAGGGGCCAGGGTGTCCCCAACTTCCTTGGTAACAACTACTGACAGACGCCCCCTGGGCCCGGGTTGGCTGGAAGCCCTGGACATACTTGCTGTAGTACATCTCACAAGCATCAGTCCAGCCTTTCCTCCCGAGCTCCTCTCCCCCTCTGACAAACACTCTGTGGACATCAGCGTCGAACGCAAAGTGCTTGGAGACGATAGCGTGGAAGTACACGGTGACTCCATTTTCTGCGCTCAGCATCCTGGGAAGAGCCAAGAAGGAGTGCTAGCTCTGCGTGTGCATGCACACACGTGTAGGCACACGTGCACATACATGCACATACAGAGCTTATTTCCCTGCTGTGTGTCAACACCGCAAGCGGAAGTGCCAGGCACCCTGGATTCAGACACTCTGTCCTGTGCGAGCACCTCTGCAGCCCGTAGGGAGGCACCGCCCAGCTCCAAAATGCTGAGGGTAGTGGAGGGGTCTGGACAAACCTATTTTTAGTTTGTTGGATATGTTTTATTTTTATGCATGTGAGTGTTTTGCATGCATGTATGTTAAGTACATCACATGTATGCAATGCCTGTGGAGGCCACAGAGGGTGTCAGGTTTCCTAGAACTGGAGTTGCAGATGATTGTGGGTGCTGGGAACTGAACCTGGGTCCTTTGTAAGAGCAGCCAGTGCTCTTAACTGCTGAGCCATCTCTCTGGACATATAAGGGATGGCCTTGCCCCTGACTTCCCTAGGGCCACATTGACAGTGAGGCCCCCAGGCATGATTAGGAAAGGAAGACTTGGGACTGGTGTCCCTGTCAGGCTCACCTGGAGCTATACTCCCAAAACTGAACTTGCCAAAGGCACTGAGAAGAAGCTGGGCACGGTGGGAGCTGCATGCCGCTGGCAGAGTGGCCGCGTGGACACGAGGCAGGGGTCTCGTCCTACCTCACTAGAGCCTCCGGCGCGGCCTTCTGCTCTGTTTTGTTTTTCACGGTAGCTGCATAATTTCTGTTCCCATCTGCCTTTTTCTGGTCTTCTGGTTTTCTGTTCTTTACGTTCTCATTTTCGCCTGTTTTCTGGACAGTGACAGCTGATTGGCCCTTAGGTTCAGCCTCCTGGAACAAGCCCTCAAACCCGAATGACTAAGATCAGCCTTCCTGCGTGCCTTGCCAACAACATGCCCCACAGCAGCCGGGCCACGGCCTTCCTTGCCAACTCCAACCTTGTCCACAACCTTGTCCTTCTGGTCTGAGAACAGGCCTGCCACGTTCTGCCTCAGGGCCTTGCCACATTCCATTTCCTATCAGGACAGTTTCTGGGTACCGTGACTCAACCCTCACGCACTCCTGGTCTCAGCTCCCATAGGCCTCACCAGGTCACCTACGCTAAGGTGGCACCTCTTCTCCGGACATCAACCAGCACATCCCCCAGGATCCTCCCAGGACCCTCACACCACATCTCTTCAGGGTACTTCTCCTGCCTGCCTTGACTTCTCAGGCACGGGAGCTCTGTGGAAACGGGCTTTGTCTCCCACATGTGACATCCCCAGCACCCCACAAATATGGGAAGTTCATTTTAAGGGATGACGGGCTTCGGAAGGGGCAGGTGCAGAGGAACCCTGCATCCTGGAGGCCTCCCAGCAGGCCAAGCCTCTACCTTGGAGGCAGTGGAGCTCACAGGTGGTGGTTCTAGCTTCCGAGCCTCTTCCGTTTCTTTCCTGGCCTTGTTTGCTGGACTAACTGGCTCAGCCGTGGCATCAATTACCTGGAAGAGATGGAGATTGCCCAAACCCCGAGCCATGGTGACAAAATGGAAAAGACAGATAGACTCGGTCAGCACCAGCCACGGGATGAGTAACTGAGGAGTAACTGCCTTTACTGCCCTGCCCAGGGAGCAAGTCCCAGATGCCCTCCCAGAGAAGGTGGGGACATCACGCTCAGGCACTGTGAAGGGAACGAGGCATCCCCGCTACTCACCCTGGAGGCAGGCTGCCTGGGCACAGCAGGCTCTTCATCCTGGGGCTCAGACTTGTCCACCTTAGATTCAGGTACTGGGACCTTCTGGGTAACATCTGTAGCCTTGGCCTTGGGGTGGCCTCTGCTGGCAGAAGGGGTTGGGTCGCAGCCCCCTTCTTGGGAAAAGCCCTTGTCTGCTGGGGGCTTGGAGCTGTTGAGGCCCTTAACTTCCGTGTGGGTGCTGGGATCAGGGCTGTTCTGAGTCGCATCTCCCACTCCGCCATCCTTGCCTTCAGCGCTGCCTGCAGTCTGACCCTGAAGAGGACCGCTACCCGCGGCACAAAGGACGGAGCTGTCCTCCTCCAGGGGCATCTCTGCCATGGCCAGAGACTGGCTGGGCTGGCTGCTTGGACTGCCATGCTGGGCTTGGCTCTGGGGCAGGGCTGAGTCCCGGGATGCAGGGATAGAAGGCAAATCCAGACTCCAGGGACCAGAGGACATGGAAGACAAGGAGCTCGGCTCCAGGGAAGTGGGGGTGGGGGCACTCTGGCCCTTTATCTTCTTCTTCTTCTTCTTCTTTTTACTCTAAACAGAAAAGCAGACACTACTTTTACTGCTTAGATTTACCATCCACCCAGTGCCTCCCCCTAGGCTCCTCTCCAAATCCTCCATCAGGTTAAGCTGGGCTTGTCCAAACCGTTCAGATCTGTCACATCTACACCTTCTCTATCTTGGGCAGGTGGACTTGGACAAAGACAAGGTGACAGAGCTGAGAGCAGGGCCATGCCCTTCCTTCTGCCGTGAGCCTCACTGGGAATCACTTCTGATAGGACAGGCCTGGGGATGGTTCCGGACATCAGAAACATCCACAGGCTTTCCACACGTGATATCTATGGCGTTACATGACACAAAAATGGCAGGAAATTAGAGGACAAGGGCAGAAAGCGTGGAATCCCTTCCACACCTGAACGGCTCACCCAGGCTGCCTGGCAAGGCTCCCTGCCCTGGGAACCTGGCTGAGCAGTAGGTTGCTAGGACTCTGGGTGCCCGGGATGAGATGCTCTGGAAGATAGATGGAGTTGCCATATCAATGACTCATGATGCCCTGAACCCTGGCAGTGTATGATGAGGCCCCACCACACAGACCAATAGCTGGCGGAGAACCTGTGCCCACACCACGACTCAGGTTAAGTCGTATGGGAAAAAGAAACAAGAAGCTGGGGTGCATCTACACAAGGAGAAGCTTCTCCAGAGTCTCTAGTGAGCTTCCTATAGATCTGCCCAGGTATCCAGCACTGGCCCCTCAGGTACCCCACAAAGCAAGTTCCTTCCCTGTCTGAGAATCAGCATTTATTACCATGTGGTAGAGAACAAAAGGGGCTGGAGATGTAGCTCAGTTGGGAGAGGCTTGCTGAGCATGCTCAAGGCCCTGGGTTCAATCCTCAGCACCACCTAAATGGCACAGCGGCTACATGCCTGTAATCTCAGCACTCACAACTCTAGGGAGGTGTCGGCAGGAGGATGAGAAGCTCAAAGTCATCCTCAGCTACATAGTGAATTTGCAAAACAAAAAGTTTCCAGACAAAAAATTTAAAGGAGAAACATCTCGCACACAGCGACTTGGCAGTGTGGGCCAGGGTGGACAGGTCCCCAATGCCTCATTTTCAGGGCTCTCTTGAAGCCAGTGCAGCTCAGGCCCGGGCTGTGAGCAGGAGACCTAGGTGGCAATCAGAGGGTCAACCTTACACCTCCTTGGGGCTACTTGGAAGCTCAGCCAGTCCTCACCCTCCTAGATGCCGTGAGAGGCTGTCAGGACCCTCAGTCCTCCCAGCTGCAGGCTGCACGAGGGTCTCACCAGCTAGGCCCTTGGAGAACCTCTTAAATTTCAGTGCCTGACCCAAAGGGCTTTTCTTCCCCACTGAGCTACAAAGTAACCTGGGCCTCTGTGAGGCAGGAGGACATGGGGACATGACTGGACTTACTGGCAGGACAGTAGGGAGGGGCAGACATCCTATACCTCAGTATGAGAAATCCAAGGACAAAGTCCAGTCGGTGTGTGGGAAGTCAGAGGCTGCACTGACACAGGGCCTCCCAGGAGGGGCACAGGGCTGAGTGGGAAAACAGAGCGCGGCCTGTCTCAGGCAAGCTTCACGGTCTTTCTGGTCAAAGGTAAGCCTTGCCACCCTGACTTCTTGCTGTGTGAATGAAAGCCAAGTCCAGTATGGCACAGACACACTACATGGTCCAGCATCTGCTCATGGCTCTCGGCAAGCCCTGCGATAGGAAATCTGGAGTTGAGTGGGTCTCCATAAGATGGACAGCGGTCCTGGAAGACCCAAGCAGGGAAGGTCTGATCCAGGACCACATCCAGTAACAGAGTGAAGAGGCTGAGCCCCAAGGTGTGGTCCTGACCAGGAACAGAGAGGATGGTCAATGGAGTCACAGGAAGTACAAGGGATAGGGACAGCCAGCCACCAGACAGAGCTGGAGGGAGGCAGTGTGCATGCTCTGTCCACACATAGGCCGGCAGGGAAGCTGTACACAAGTGGTACTCCCCAGGGTGGACTCGCCCCTGGCGGCCGCCCAGCTCTTCCTCTCAGCAAGCTGGCACCACCAGAGTCTTGTTCTGGGCCTGGCTCCTGGGAGACCCATGGGGTGCCGACGCAGGCTCACCTGTCTAAGATCGGTTCACTCACTTGTACAGAGATCAGATCTGTGAGGCGAGTGACCCTGGCTCTGAAAAGCCCCAAGAGGAAGCATCTGGAAGTGGGATGCTGCCACCTAGTGGTGGCCCCACGCAACAGCTGGTTTTAATGTCACCTTGCCACATCTGAGGAGCTGTCCTGAAGCCTTAATGGTGTGGGGAGGCCCCCCATTTGTGGGCAGCCCCTTCTGGTAGCAGCTCAGATGAAAAGGGCCTGGCAGAGTACTGGCCTCCTGCCAGCTGGGCCTTCCTTTCCTCTTGCCTCCCAGTTGAATGACCCTGTTGCTGATTCCTTCACAGGTATCAGAACCAGCATGTCCAGGCTTCCCTGGGTGGCTAAGGACCAGCGGCTCTCCAGGACCCATTAGGTTCCTGGTGCCAGACTGGGGCTGCTGAGGCACCCCACCTTGGGGACAGAGTAACCAGTGGGCTCTCAGCCTCTCAGGTGTGATCCAGCTATCTTACTATTTCAACAGAAGCTGACTTAAATTGTTCAATATGAATTCATTCTATCTGTTCTGTTCCTCTAGAGACCCTGACTAAAAGCACCCTAAGACATGTGCTAACCCCTAGGCAGATGGACCAAAGCCGGGCATGGTCAGTTGGCCACACAGCAGGCCATGAACCTTCCTGCAGGCACCACTGCCAGCCTCCACACAGGGACCACACTGCCCCAGTCCTGCCCATTGCCTCAGGTCTGAGTAGGGGCACAGCAGCATGTCAGCTCCCACCCAGCTCATGACACGCTAGCTAGGCAACCCTGGGTAGCTTACTAAGCCACCATATGCTTCTGTCTTCCCATCTGTTAGAGACAGATGTCCCTGTGTTATAGGGACGCCCTTATGATAAGGGTGACCAGATAGGACAAAGGTCTAGCATTGTAAAAGCTACCAGGCATGAGCAAGGTGCCGTCACACTGCCATGACCAGTTATCACCCATGGAGAGCAGGTCTTTGGGGGCTGTCTAGCAGTACAGGACAAGGATGGGGGTCTACTGCTCCCCCAACCCAGGAAGGATCCCTGTATCTCATCTCCTACTCTCAGCCATGTGGTGCAGGAACCATCCGCTCTGCTCTGGCTCTGGAATCAGCCCTCATGGGTTGTGAGCTCACATCAACACTGACTCCTACTGTGTGGAGCAGTGCCCAGGTGAAGGCCAGGCTGCAACCCAGTCACAGCCCATGAGCTTTGGAGGAAGCATCCTCTTTCTTCTGTAGAGGCCACCAGAGGAGACATATTCCCTCAACAGTGCAGTGGCAGGTGGCTTTCTGTGGAGGCCATTGGGTGACACAGGGGATGGTCCAGAGTGGCCAGTCATAGCTGCTGTGAGGTTAAGAGGCAGCCAACACCAGGGAGGCAGTGTAGAGACAGAGCTAGGATTTCCTCTCTGTAGCCAGATCAAGCCTTACCTGCAGCCTTGGGATTTATCAGTGATGTGAGCAACCATCCCTCCAACCAGTTCTGGCTGGTTAGTTATTTGCTACCAAAAGTTTTCCACTGGTTCAAATAATCAAACTTCACATTAGGTTGTCCCCTTCTTAACCAAGTCAGGAATGCCCAGGTGACCAATGTTCTAACTGCCTTGATGACTCAGATATCAGGCTTTGTGGATGAACATGTGGGACAGGAGGCCCCCATGGTGGCCTGTCCCTGACCTTCCAGACATCTTAGAAGTGTGGCCCACCCTTCGTCCTCAGGTAGTGGAAGGCAGCAGCTGCCTACCCCAGGGAATGAGACTCCTGCTTACATGAACACTGAGGACAGGAGGCTCTGGGAGCCCGCCACGGTGGGCACGGTGGGTGGGAAGTGCCTTGGGGGTGGGGATCTGTCGGTGCCCAGAGGGTCTGGCTGTGCTCTACCCCACCCTTCCTAAGAGGCTTGCTGAGAACCTAGTATTTATGGGTTTGTTTGGGGTTTTCTGCATATGATGCCCCAAACAGTCACATAATTATCAACACGACATTCACCTGTATTGTCTCTTCTTTTTTTTATTGTTGTTGTTTTGTTTTTCTGAGATGACAGGGTCTCCCTGTAGCCCCACCTGGCCTGGAAGGCACTATGTAGACCAGGCTGGCCTCGAACTCACAGAGATCTGCCTGCCTCTGCTGGGATTAAAGACGTGTGCCACCATGCCCGGATAATTCCAACTCTTTTTATGGACTAGAAGCTCGTGCCACGTTCTTTCCTGTGAGTCAACTTTATTTATGTTTGCTTCTTTTTTTGTTTGTTTTTATGTCTGCTAGGTCGAAGATGCAAACCAAAGCCTTGTGGGGCTGGAGAGATGGCTCAGTGGTTATGAACACTGGTTGTTCTTGCAGAAGACCCAGGTCTGAATCCCAGCACCCACACGGTAGCTAACAACTGTCTGTAACTCCAGTCTCAGGGAGTCTGACAGCCTCTTCTGACCTCCCCGGGCATTGCACGACACAGGTGCACTTACCTACACGCAGGCAATACACGCATATACATAAAATAAAAATAACACACATAAAATAAAAATAATAAATAATGAAAAAACAAAGCCTGGTACATGCCAGGCCAGCACTTCACCCCTAAGCTGCACCCCAGACTGAGATGACAGGCTGCACCTGTGATTGCCACGTCCTGCATGAGCGTCTACTCCTCTGTCGGAATGTGGCCAGTGCTGTGTTTAAAGCTCTCCCCTAAATCTGCATTCTTCTTTCCCTTCCTCTATGGGGATCTCCACCCATCTGCAGTTCAGATGAACTTGAGAACAAGAGGATTTCAACATAAACAAAGCAAAACCCACTGGCCCCAATGTCACTCTTTTCCACTGATCTATTACTGTGTAGCTGTGGGGAGAATAACAGCTTTGTGACATTAAGTCTCTGTCTTCCTTCCCCACACACTTGGGCATCTCTTCTCCCGTCTTGTTATTTACAGAAGTGGGGATGGAGTCTAGGGCCCGGGCACGCTAGGCAAGTGCTGGACGTCTGAACCATGCCCCCACCCAGTCCTTGGCTCCACACTGTGGATCTACTGTCTGCCACTGAAGGGAAGGGTAAGGCCTGGCCCATGTTTACAAAGCTGTTTTCATCCAGAGCTACTGCAGGGATCCCCTGAGCCAAATCCAAGCGCAAGCCAGCACTGCACCTAGCTTTGCCTTCTACCCCACACCCAGGACCAGTGTGACCCTGTGTGGAGCAGACAATCTGATCCTGGGGAACAAATGCTTGCCCACCTCACTCAAGAAAAAGGCCCTATGTGTAAGACCATCACTATTTGGATATAAAGTGTCCTGCTACAAGGTCCACTGTTGAACACTTGTCCACCAGCTGCTGACACTGTTTTGAAAACGTCTGCAGACTTCGGGAGGCAGAGCTTGCTGGAGGAAGTGAGTCACTGAGGCATGTCTTTGGGGCTATACCTTGCCCCAGGCCCTTCTTTGCCCCATCTCTATCCTGTCTGCCATGAGGTGATCAGTCTCTGCCAGTGCTGAGGCACCCTGACGTACTGTCTCACTGCAGCCCAGAAGCACCAGAGAGGCAAGGGCTAGCTGAACATGAAACCGTCAACCCTTCCTCCCTTATAGGGTCCTCAGGTGCCTGTCCTGGGGATGAAGAAATGGATACAGAAAGTAACAGCTAAATTTCCCAAGCCCTGGGGCTGGATAGATGGCTCAGCAGCTAAGAGCAGACCTGCTCTCCAGAGGACCCGTTAGGTTCCCAGCACCCGTGTCAGGTAGCCCACAACTGCCTATAACTCCAGGTGCAGAGGACCGATCCATACCTTCTTTGGTCCCTGAGGGTGCCTGCATTCACATGGGGACACTCACACAAACACATACATATATACGAATAAAAAAAAAAAAAAAAAAAAAAAAAAACCTAAAAAAATCTTTCCCAGCATCACCTTGGATGTACGGAGCTCTCCTGCTTCTTCTCATAAGCAAAAATGCTTTTGTCGCACCTGTGAGCTGGTCGCACTTCTTACACAGAGAGCTCGGGAAGACACTGCGGCACCACAGGAAGTGACAGGCCTGGGTTCGCCTCACAGTGAATTCAGGTGTTTTAGGGACACCAGTGACCTGCCAGCCAGGACACCACCTGCCTCATTCTGGCTGGTGTTCGGGCCCGCCTGGCTTCCTGCTCTTGTGGTGGAGAAGTTCCGGGTTGCCTACAAGCTTCAGCTAGGGTAAGTATCCCCAGATGTTAAAGGAGAGAGCTTCACAAAAAAGCTGGCTGAGGATGTGGTGGGAAAGGCTCACACGGCACAGAGAGGGGTTGATATCCTCAGTCACAACGGTCAAACCCCAAGTCCACACTGCCACACCATAGCCAGACCCAGGTGGAGCCCTGCTGTGGCTCAGCCCACCAGCCTTCCTCAGCTGTCAGGGCCAGCCACTTGGAGTGTGACAGTGACCTGCTGCAACACAGGGCTGGGAGAGGCGATTTGTGTAACTGTGTCTCAAGCTACCTGCTCAGCATCTGAGATCTCAAACCCAGCTGCGTCCTTTCTTCTCTTGCACGGAGGGTACTCAGCACCTTCCAACTCATCAGCTGTGTCCTCAGAAGCATCCACAGCAACCTCTGTGGCCTCTTCCTGTTGAGACACCACTTCTTCACACAGGGCTCTCTTGCCCTGCTCCTGCAGAACCCTCAGGGACCCCTACCACAGGAAGGCCCCAGGGTACTCTCCAGCTCCGCAGCCCCTCAGTGGTTCAGGGTCAACGGCAGGAGGAGAAAGGAAACCAAGAAAGGGGTCTCCGGGCATTCAGAACGAGTCTGCACAAGGGCAGACCTCTGCAAGCATGTGTGGGGCCTGGTCTGGAGGCTTCCAGATGCTTCTGGGGATACTAGAAGAGGCAGGTCACCCAGATACCCAAGGTGAAGTCAGGTGAGACCTCTGGAGCCTAACCCCTCAGCTGACACAGAAACCCAGCACCTCCCTGACCCCCTCAGCAGGCTCTCATCACCTCAAATCAAACAGCCCAGCAGGAGGAACCACTCAGGCTCCTCCACTCAAGGCACCCAGCGACAACTAAGTCTCTCCTTCCCTCCCTGCAGAGGGTACCAATCTGCTAGCCTGAGAGGAAGCCAGAATCCACTAGGAGCACCCTGACAGTCAGCATGGAAAAGCTGCCAAGAAAAGGCAAGGTGGAAGCAGGTCACCCCGGTGCCAGGAGGGGAACCCCTCCTGCTAGCTCCACTGGACCTAACACTGCCATGCAGGAAGGAAGGCCCCCCGGGGCTGGGGAGGCGCCCAGTGCTCCCTCTCTTGGCTTCTGAGGCCACCTTCCCTGGTGCCTTAACCACAAGTGCTGGAGCCTCACCCTGCTCTGACACCTGCACGGCAGTGGGAACACGCATACAAAGATGCACTAATCGCTAGAGATGACCCCATCCCATCAGCGTTCAAGTGCGTGCTTCACCCCAACTCTGCATATCCAGGCATTGATCAGCAGCAGTACCTTCTAAAAATAATGTTTTATTATTTTTATGTGTATGAGTGCATTGCCTGCATGTATGTAAATGCACCTGCATCGTATAGTGCCCACAGAGGTCAGAAGAGGGTGTCGGATCCCTTGAAACTAGAGTTATGGACGGTCATTAGGCACCATGTGGGTGCTACGAACTGAACCCAGGTCCTTCGCAAGAGCAGACAGGCTCTTAACCACTGAGCCATCTTTCCAGCCCCACTAGGAATACTTTCGAAAGACTTGGGTTTTTGTGGGGGTTTTTTTGTCTTTTTGAGACAGAGTCTCTCTGTAACCCCAGCTGTCCTGGAACTCACTATGTAGACCAGGCTGGCGTTGAACTCACAGAGA